AACGTGAATAGGTCAGTGTGTACAGTTCAGGATCAGGAGGCAAGAAGGTGGGGAGCGCGCATGAACGTCACAGCCTACGTAAACAAATGTATTTTGCAGGAAATCCAACCCGATTACTTCACAAAGGCTGTCATAGGCAGGTGAATGCTTCATTTTTTTTCTAATTTGCCTCCAGCCCTACTGTTTTCTGTTCAAATAATGGTAATCAGGATGGTAAAATAGCTCAGCCACCACTAGTTTTTCCTCCAATATTGTCATCCAATTGGACAATGGGAAAAAAATACCAATGACGCTGGGTGTTTTTCTGCTCTGAGTTTAAGTTTTTTCAACTTGCGGTGTTCAGAGCGCTTCTACAAAAACGCAAAGCCCTCAGAGCATCTAAAATGCGGGACGCCCAGAGCTCATTAGCAGCCCACAAAATGCTTAACTACCTATAGAAAGCAAGTGGAAAAAGATACCTCTCACTGCAAAAACCACACTTTGTCTGATCGCTTTGAAACTTAAAGGGTGACCTGTGTAGTTTTCCTTAACTTCTTGAATGCCCAAGAAATCTACAGAAATAGTCAAATGATAACTAGGTTAAGATGGAATTTAAGAAAAACTGGTGCAACCTGCTCTAGTTCATCAGCATGATATGGAAAAGAGGTGATATCACAATGACCAAATAAATAATACTGTCACATACTTGGTAGTATATAAACTGGCTGCAGTGCTCCCCGGGAGCACAGTATACTATACAAAAACAAAGGTCTGTCAGCACAGGAGGGCTTAATGGATACACTCACACACACATACAGAGTAGTAACTGTGTTCCACAAGGCACTATAGATTGGTCCATCTTATGTCCCCTGGAGAAATACCGTTGCCTGGGCGCTTTGATCTATCAAAATGAATGAGGCAGCCGGCATCGACTGTTAGAAGCAGCAAGGAACCCCTTTCAGAATGATCAAGTTAGAATATTTATGTTTCTTCCAAAATGTCTCACTTTACATGGTTGTATAATGAGGAATTCAATCGATTTAGACTTCTTCTTTTAAAAGGTGGTGTGGAGATCAAATCTCATTTTTCTAGGGGTTTTTTTGTTGATATGGGCCCATCATCTCAAAGAAAAGTGACTTGTTGTTTTTATACTAGCACATTCAAAGGCACACACACTCACACAAATATTTAATTCTCTATCTGTAAGATTAATGAAGAGACAAGTTTTGAGAGGAAAGTAAAGAGACATTTGGAGTGATGTGTCAAACCACAGGAAATCTGTGTGTACATCTCTGTGCCGTTCAGTGTAATTCACAGTCTCTTGCTCTTTGACAGCAATGCATGTCAATGTCCTGCTGCTGTGGGTTTGGAGAGGAACCATCTGGCTCAGACGTACTTCTGAGAATAATGTGTAAATCCTGTCGACGGGTGCCAGAGGGAGTCCTCACAAGGGTGTTTTTCAAGCCAAAATGAAGTTTAACTGCATGGATTTTGGTCTGGCTACTCTTTTACACTGCGTCTGTGTTGGTTGTCTTCTGCAACGAAATAAGTTAATGAGGCCAAAGGAAATATCTGCCATCTCTTCTTGACCCAGCCCAAATTCTTACTGCAACACAATGACTTCAATATCTAATCAAACCAATCACTGATTTAGAACCTTAATAATGAATAATCTTACTGTTTTGGTTGACAATTAACATAAACTAGCTTGTGCCCCCAGTCTGGTGCAATATCGCATAAACAAGTGTTCATAGGCCACATTCATCAATTAAGCATAACACTCGCAGCAGTGGCTGCCTTCCCATTTGAATACATTAGGGAGGAATATGTTACCTCACGGACCACGGCTGACCAACCACATTAGATTTGACTATTAAGTGTGATAGATTTCTCCTTAAAGTGCAAAGGATGCTCTGTGGTTAACAAAGCCAAACTACTTCTTGGACTTTTCAGATGCTTATCTTGGTAGCATTGATTTTTATAATCTCTGCACATGTGGGTTAACATTTCCAGCACAATAAAGAAAAGCAATCTCCAAGAAGGCAGACAGAAGAAACACTAAAAGCTCCATATTAATGCACATTTATTCTCCCTGAGCACCAAGAACATATCATTATCCGACTGAAGCACTGATGAAATCAATGATAGTGCTTCGTTGCACATAATATTTTAAGTGATGGCAGTCATAGCTAAATATACCCTGTAAATACAACATCTATCTTTATCATTCTCTTCATTTGAAAGCTGTTATTACAGTAGCATATAGTGACCCATCAAAAGGGATGAAATCACGTGCTGAAAAGTACACAGCAATGCGAGGGTCATTTCTCTGCAACTAGAAAAAGTCTACTTTTAAACCCAAGAAACTCACAATTAAAAAAAAAAAAACATTCAATAAACTCTTAATATTCTACAAAGATTTGATTTCGCATTTCATTTCATACTGCTCCGTTCTTCTTACAGCAACATACTATTTTTGTTGCAAACTACAACCAATAATATCACTACTTTGGCAAAACCTAGTACTGTACTTCAGTTGACTAAAATGACTAAAGACATAGTGTTCAGACCCATAAGCAGAGCTCCATATAACTGAATTGCTTTAGTGAGACTAATATTTTTTTAGGTGAAAATCCTATTGAGAACAATGTTGTTTTTCAAGGCAAACCCTTTTGAAAAAAAGTATACACAGTGGCACAGAGAAGACAAATGGTACATTTCAATGTAAAAAGAGACGAAGGAAAGAAAACACAAGCACAACAGAGAAAAACAGAGAGGAAAAAACAAACATTAATGAATATATGTCACCACAGTCTTAATGGTCCAAACTGTTAAATAAAAAAAGTTTAAAAAAAAATTATTATATGTGATCAGAGAACCATGTTCAAGACCACATTCCACAAACACAATACACAGGCATTACACCAATCACACAAACCAACAACAACAATTAATCATTCATCACACTTTTGGGAAAACACAACCTCAACTCAGAATGTCCCAAATCCACATTTCATCGATGTAGTACGGGACATCATTTGCAAACAAAAGTCAATAGCAAACATTCTGTTTTGCTGTTTTATTTGTGGTCCACGTCTACCAGTGTGCCCTTGAGATGAGTCTAAGACACTCCAGGACTCTGGACAGGTCACAGAAGAGGTCTGGTCTCAGTGAGACTGTTGCCTCAGGTAGGGGAAAAGGATGAAATGTTTTCTGGCTACAGCAGGTGGACATCAGCGGGTGCAAAACAGGCGATATTTTTCTTCAGCCTTCACCACTGTTCCCAACACAACTTACTGAATCTCTCCCACCTTATCGCCTTCTCTTTTCTGGCCACAAACAGTCCAACTCTTTATTTTCACCACCTGACCCATTTACAAAACTGCGTCCTGGTGGGTGCTGCTCCAGAAATGAGGTCCAAGCCTTTGATCCAGCTCCAGATCACTGGCTGAAAGGCTGTCACTTCAGCTTTAGGCCGCCTAGCATCCCACGGCAGCTCTTCATCTCCAAGCCTGGTCGACACACTTTTTTATCACATTCACACATCCTTCATCATGTGACCAGTTCATTCTTCCCTCTCACCAGCTATCATATCAGGGGATTGGCTTTTATGTCAACACAAATACCTCAACTCAAATACAATAGAGGTAAAATAAACAGCAAATGAACCACGGAATTGATTGTGTTGGAATGGAATAGATTTTCAGCCCATGTGAGCCATAATATGATGGCTGCATTCACTTACACAAAGACTACTTATACTCACATCACCTAACTGAGCTGGGTGAAAGTAAAATTTACAGTGAAAGACAAAAAAAACACACTGAACCATTTACACGAAGGAAAAAGAGGGCAGATTTAATTTAAAAATTGGCACGCATTCCTCATTTCTACAGATGAAAGCTCATAAATGAAAAAGCCTGGAATCATGCCTGGTATGGAAATCTACAGTTATGAATAATGCCTCTGTCTCAATCATCAAGTCTGTTTTAATAAGGTGGATTAGCCCAGCACCTGGAAGCTGAAAGGCACACACGACTGCACTCCTAACCAACCAAGAGTGGGACAAGAGTCCCTGGGGGCCCTGAACCTCACATCCACCCTGTTGGACCCTCATGAGTCTGTAGGAGTGAACAGCGGCAAACAGCTCAGGCTTGTCATTTATGCCCATGAATCCACCTCCAATGGGCCGGCACCGCAGCTGGAGCAGCTGATTTACACACAGTTGCTAATCAGGGAATGGCTCTCTTGCTAATGAAAACTCATAGATCTATACAATAACACTACTGATATAATTGTGGCTTCTATTACTCATTCCTAAACATGCAATAGGCAATAACAATTGAATGCAACCAGGAGTTGAAGTTAAGATTTTGGGGTCAGAAATGTTGACGTAGAAAATGGTGACGGCCATTGCCATCTCTGTCCTGAGCTGGGAATAAGGGCCTCCTGTATGCAAATTCACAATGTCTCTGCAGACATAAATATCACAAAGGAGTAAATATATTCTTTCCTCCTGCCGGGCCTCTGTGACGCTCCAGCATTTAGCTGATTGCAGGATGGATATGCTTAACTCCACCCTCCCATCCCTCCTTGAGTCCAGCTCTGGGGACTAGTGGGAAAACCCCGCTAGAAGGCCAGCACAATGGTTTGTTTCAGCTTGGCATTGATTCATCATTCCACTGAACAAGTCATAGGCACCAGTCTAATCATGATTAAGACCATAACAGAGAGCTGGGTAGACACAGGGGGGATGCAACCATCCATCCATCCGCTATATTCATCAAGCAAATCACTTCCACTTCCAGCAAATGAAAATTAATTCATTGTGACTTACCTGTTCCATTGGCTGTGTTTGCTAAGAAGAGAGGATACAAAGCTGAGCAGCTTTGAGATAGACGTACATTGAGGCAAAACAGTTGTAGGATTCACGTTAAATTCTTATGGACTAACAGGCTGTGAAAGCCATTTAGGAATAAATGAGTGATTCATTGTAGACTTAGGGAGGAAAGTGCACTCACCACTAGAGCAGTCCAGTCCGCCCCATCCAGGCTCACACTGGCATGTATCAGGAGACACACAGCGACCATGGACACACTCCTCTGTACACAGAGCTGAGACAAAAAAAGACATTCATCATCAGTGTACTTTATAATTGAGTTAACACACACACACACACACACACACACACACACAAGCAGGGTGTAAAACATCATTAAACCACCAATAAACAGCATAATGAAAACCACCAAGATAACAGCCAAAGGAAAATGGCCCATAAAATTGAACACTCAATATCTCCCTAATACCATCAAGGGAGTAAATCTTAGCCATGGCACTCATATTCAAGATCCATCTCCACTATTTGACACTGGGCTAAATGATTTCTTAGGAGATTGAGTCCTTGGTCAACATCCCTGTTTATCGCATAGCTTTGCTTTCCACAATGAGCTCTTATCAGCAGGTTTTTTTTCCATGAAGGAACAAGCTGTAAATCCCTTTTAATTTGATCAGCCAGTGCTTTGTCATATAGTGATGCTTTAATGTAGCAGGTCCAGGCACCACAGTGTTTACTAAGTATGCAGTTTTCTTGATCATTCATATTGAGCAACACGGCACCCAATTGATTGGGTCGGCATCAGTATTCCTGGGAGTGTGTTCACAAGAGTTGGAGGTTTGGTTCAGCTGGATAATAAAGTGACCTACATGGAGGGGTTTTTTTGCCACAGTGCCATTTTTTTTTTTTTTTGATTTAAGCCAAGAAATAAAAGTATGACAAAATAGGCACTTAGCATGAATAAATCTGTGGCAGCCAAGGTCATCTGGCCAGCAGGGTTAAGACAGACAGGCTCTTATCTAGGGAATGAGACAGTCAGGCCAATACGAAGACAGAGAAACTCTGCCTGATGGGAATCAGCAGTCCGCTAACATGGCCTGTAGAGGGATGATACACAACCCAAGGACAGCAGAACAGACCAGCCATAGCCTTAACTGATCAGCCCTCATCCAACACTTCATCCAAGTTCTGCTTCTTTTGTTCTTTATTTTTTCCTGTTTTATGATCAAAAGTGAAAAGGGGGCAGGAGGATAGCATCTGTGAGTTTTCTTTAAACAACATAAGACCTGGGGCAATTTTTCAGCTCTTTGTGCAACACTATGGGGCTCATCCTGCAAGCAGAGAGGTCAGCAGAGAGCTGGCTGCAGGCCTACACAGTGCTACTATAGATTATCACTCAATCAGGCTTCGATTAGGATCCACCGCCAGCGGGAGAGATGCAGGAGAGGAGAAAGTTCCCAAACACTCCATTGCTAATCGCAGAAATGCTCCCAAGGCAAAAATGGAAACCAGAGATTGAAAGATAATTTACGGCAGATTTCTGAGCATCAGTACTCTGGCAGAAAACTGTCTAATTACAGTAAGCCAGCAAGAAGAAAAGGGGGATGGAGCTTCCACATTTGTGCTGACGAAGGTGTGAGATTGACTACGTGTAATCAATGAGCCCACAGTATGCCGAGTATTCAAAGAAAAGAGGAGACAAATTCAATGTCACCATAATGAGTTGATTTAGTTTACTTTCAATCAGCAAATTCTGATCAGCGAGAACAGGGAAATGCAAATGTGTCACATCCTTTAGAGAAAAAAAAGAAATATGGAAATGAAGTTTTGAATATGGGAGAAAGGACAAAGCGCACCTTTCTCCTGAGATCTGAACCGGTGTACTGAAGGGATGGCATAATAAAGTAGGAGGTAGGTCTTTCATTTTAATTGAAATTCATGAATCACTCTGCTTAACTCATGTCTAAGGAATCTGTTGGAAAATTGAGTCTTTCATCTAGATAAAAGGCTAATCTAACTCATTATGCAGAGGTGTTATCAGAACAGGAAACAATAGAGCTAATTGGTGATTGTCATGCAGCGTTAATAAATGTTATATTCCTGCCCAGTCAAACTACAATCTTTTAAAATGCTGAATAAAAATACATCTTTATAGTCTCCAGTTTAACTGCGTTATTCTTCGTTTTTGGAGAGTTGTGCTGCAGTCTGGAAAAAAGACCAGTATGATTCTGTTTGTTTATGATTTTTGTAGTAGTAGTGTTTTTAGTACACTGGATATGGAAGTGAAATTAAAAAAAAGTGGCACGTCGGGATGTAGCTGATGGCTAAATCAATCTAAGAGATATGCCTACAGAACATATCAAACAACTCCCTCCAAAGCTTCTTCCACATGCCATCTAGCACAGAGATGATTCTTTTTAAAACTTAGTCTTTGAAGCATTAAAAAATGCAACAAAGCCAAAATGAAAATGAAATCAAAGGCACCGAATCCCTTTCTGGAGAAAAATCTCATCATCTTCCCAATCATCAAAACCCAATGAAATGTGCTAGCGCACTACTGCCTGAAACTTTATCAAAACCCAACTAATTCTGCCACCAAAGTCATTTTTAGAATTATATTGCACCACTGGACAGGCAAGAGTCATGCAGGAGTCATCTGGCCTATATGCTCTGCAAAAAGAAGGACTCATAGCCCTGCAGAGCCTGTCATCCTCTGAAAATATTACGAGCTGTTGCCATTAGTGAGTTCCCCTCGTGCACAACCATAATAATCATGCTTATTAGAAGGGAAATGAGTTCCTCACATCCTCTACATAGGCTAGTTATAGATTAAGGTAATGACTTACGACTGATCAAAGGTCACAAAATTAATAAAGACCCCCAGTCTAATTAAAGAGAACAGATCAAAGTTCAATTTATGGTTGAGAACTTTGAGAAAATTAATCACTTTTCAAAAACTGACTGAAACAAAAGAACAAACAAAAAAATCTTTAAAAATAATGCTGCTGATTTAATGTCAAATGTATATTAAATATACTGTATATACCTTATGTACTCTTATTCTCCTTTTGTGTAAAAATTTTATTCCATTCTTCACATCCCCAGATTCATTCAGCCACCTCTCATTGGAGCTAATGTAAGTGTTGATGTGGTACCATATGACCAATAAACCCAAACAAAAAATAAGCAGGATTAAAAGGCAAACACTCTTGAAGCATTTATGACTTTTAATGAAATAGACTTCATGGAGAATGCTACAGTAAACTAAAAATACACAGGGTGGGGAGGGGGTGGTATAAGTGTCCTGAAATAGACAACCTGAGTTAATTTTAGGTCGATTTACTCTATAATGCCCCCTTTTGTCACTGCATGCAAAACAGCTCGGGGAGTACAAATCTCTTAATCCTGGGAGTGAGAGTGCTAGGATCAGAAGGGGTGGAACACTTTGCAAATGCAGCAAAAAGCAGAATTGCCCTCTCGGCCCCATCAACTCAGTCCCCCAACTTCACCTGAAAGAGGGTTAAAGGAGAGACCAGCTGTTTTCACAGTTAGTCTGACATAATATCAAAACAAAACATATTGTTCATACTGTGGGGAGGCCAGATTTGAGAGGCACCTCAACAGTTTGCAGACACACCTAGTTAACACGCTGAAAAGACTGTTATTGAACAAATGGCTTCATAATCAATCAAATGGTTAATGAATACATTATTGATCAGTCTGCACCTCCCTCCTCAAGACCCCCAGATAATCACACTGGCTCTTATTCTTTGCTGGCTGGCTTCCCGGTGCTCTGCTGCCCTGAGGCAAGTAAAGCCTACACAAGGACAAGCTCCTCTGTGGTCAAAGAGCATACCCACATGGCTGCAGTATCACTGAATCAGTAACTCCCTCATGTTGCAAAAGATCTAGGAAAATATTAAAGCTCAATTCTAATCTTAATTTAAAAGGAATAAAACATTAGGTAAGGCGAGAATATCAAAAACTTAACTCTCAGAAGCTATATGTTCTGTCTTTATTTGGCCAGCATGCCAAAATATGCAGTTTGATGTGTGTGAATAAAAATAGAAATGAATGACCATTAATGAAGCAACAAAAATAACAGTGAAGGACTGTTATCAGCATATTGCAACAGTCCAATTTTCACGGCTTCTGCTCTTTTCATGTTTTTGAATTCCAGTGTGGTTTTATGCCGGGTGTTATACCTACTCAGTCTGTAACCAGGACCCTCTTGGCTTGTTCATTTTTCTCATTGTTATACAACTTCGATTAAATGACTCTTGCTGGAAGAGTAAAGCAGTGAGCAGTCTACTCTGTACAATAATGTGCCTTCATGTTAATCCATGCTAAGTCATCTTAAACTGAGTAAATTCACATGGATGGTGGCATGCTAACAGATGAGGTAGTGGTGGCATGTTATTACTGGGCGTTCATGATAAACAAGATCAGACTGGAATGGGGCGACAGAGGCAAGCCACCCACAGAAACGATCAATCCTAATATTTCCTTCTTTTTTTCTAAATGTCTAGCAAACATAACCACCTGAAATGTCATCATCGAGGACAAAGGAGTTAAAAAAAGGACACTCACGAACACACAAGTCTCCGCTCTCAAAGTAACCAGGGCAACACTGTGAGCGGCGCCTATACATGGTCCTCACTCCCCGCCGGTAAGCCGTCTTATAGCTGATCCTGAAAAAACAGACACACAGAGACAGCTACGTGACGTAAAGAGTGACCCTGTCTGAAGGGCAGGAATACATATAGAAGGTTAAAGTAAGTTGAAGCATGATTTCATATTGTTATTGTACAACGAGGAAAAATAATTGAAACCCAGTGGAATTTTGTGTAATACACAGCTACATAAAAGTCAGTATTTGGGAGGTGACTCTGTACTTGTTTAGTTGGATGCCCACTATAAACCTTAATGGAGTAATTAAAACATTTACTGAAGTTAATTACAGGCAGAGACATCCTGGCTCTGACCACTTCACTGTCAGCCACATTAACAAGGACATTTACTATGGCCTTCACAGACTTGGCTGTTATTTTGGGGGACACTAAAGGCCACTGATGACACAAACACGGGGACAAATAAGGAGACTCCGACAAACGTACCTGTGCCTTGTGCATTTAAACCAGTTGAGGATGTCTGTGCATCTGGTGTAGTAGATCTGGTCAAATGGGTGAGCGTAGGATTCCTGGACAGTCACGGCGTAGCTAAAAAGACAGAAATGTAAAGACACCAGTGGTGAAAGACACTGCTGGGAATATTTTCCCAGCAACATTTGTTTGCTTCTTGGTTTGACGAAAAAAACAATAAAAGCACAAAGGTCCTGTCAATTGATACAGTTGCAATAAAAGTCATACAATAACTTTGATATGCAAAGAAAGAACCTGAAAGGAGCTTTTAAGTGATTCATGTTTGTGATACATGCAACCAGAGGCAGTCTGAGGATATTGGAGGACCTCAAAGCCATGAACACAGCTCACTTAAGGAATTCATTTTAATGCCAACAAGGTGGAATCACAATCCCTAAGTACCCTCACCTTGGTTAGGCAATATTCCAGATAATATATCTTCACAGCTTTCTTTCCTCCCCTTTGCATTGAGGAGAGATATTATTTCTGCTTATTTCTCATAAGTGACACTGCCCAGCACAACTAATAATTATTCAGGCTCTATGGCTGTCATGATTGATTAGGATGAGAGTACACTGATCAATTTGCCTGCGTATTTCATTTGAAGCTGCAACTCCTCCCATCTCTCAGAGCTTGGCGACTTGAGCTGTGTGAGATCGATACTGCTGTATGCACTTTGAAAATAGATCTGGAACTTTAGTTAAGGGCGCAAGAAGCAGGTACACTGAAAAAGTTCCAGGATCGACAACATCAGCCCTGGGAGTTGGTGCTGCTAAACTACAGCAGATTCTCTTCCAAATGAAAAAGTCAATGTAAACACAAGAGGGTAATGCCCACCTCTCCCAGTGGCTGCAGACATTCGGGTCATCTGGGTTCAGACTCCATACACTTGTGCTCAAAGCCAGAACAAGCACCAGGGTCTGCAGGGCAACAGATGACCCCATTCTTCAAACTGAAAGGGGGGCAAGGAAGAAAGATTTACGATTATAACTTGGATCAGATCTCATATTTTCCTTTCTAATAAGAACATATTTGTACTTGGAAGTGCTGCACACATTTTTAAAGTAGTTTTCCAGATTATCTAAACAAATGCTGATTTAAAGGAATAGTTAGATATTTTGGGAAATTTGCTTATTTGCTTTTTTGCCCTTTGGTAAATATGAAGCTACAGCCAGCAGCAGGTTAGCTTATCTTAGCATTAAGGCTGGAAACATGTGGAGCAAGCCTGGCTTTGTGAAAAGGGAGCAAAATCCACTCACCAGCACCTCTAAAGCTTACTAATTATTTGCTATGCATCATTTGTTATACATAATTTGCTTAATCTGTACAAGAAACAATGCAAAACAAATGTTGTGGTTTTTATGGGAGTTATTTACAGTACTATTTAACATAGTTTGGGCTATTAATTAGTGAACTTGAACATTACATTACTGTGTCTGGGGATGAATAAACACAGAATAAAATGATCCAATGGCAAATTTGAGTGAATGATGCACGGTTAAAAGTTGCTTCGCTTCTTGTCTGAACACAAAGTTAGAGGTACTGCCTGGTAAGTGGATTTTGTTATCTCTGGACAGAGTCAGGCTAGCTGTTTCCCACCATTTCCAACCTTTATGTTAAGCTTAGATGACTTTCACCTTCCTTTTATCAAGAAAGTGGTATCGATCTTCTCATTTAACTATCGCCAAGAAAGCAAATACAAGTATTTCCCAAAATGTCAAACTATTGCTTTTAAGTTGTTTTCAAGCTAGGACTGTTAAACAACATGCCTATGCTTGTTTAACAATCGCTCTTGTGCTTTTCTCCTTCAGTAAGACCTTCTCCCTGTGACCGTGACAGAGATGCAGATTTGTTTAGACCAGCAGGTTATTTCATTACATGTATGGGCAGAGAGCACATATGATGAACAGACATGACATTGATGGATTCACTACATGTGTAGGTCTTAGCAAATCGCTATCGAAGATAAAAGCTGTATGGATGACACATATGACTGACACACAATATATCTCATACTTTAGGATAATGCTTTGTTCCCATTACCAGTAACATAAATGTATCTTATGTATGGTGATCTGTCTTTGGGCTGTGGACATGATATGGCCTCTTGAGAATAGAAAACATTGTATAAACTACAAACACATGAGAATAAATACAGGGAAACTGACTCTTGACTCGTCTATGTATATGACTCAATGTGTAGAGATCATATGCATATGTGATTCTGTGTTTGCATGTATACATTAGGTTTTGTGTGCACTGTATGTGCTTCGTTATGTTACTTGGGAGGTGTTCAATATTTCTGAGTGACTGTACCAATAACACACACATTCACATGTTCAGCTAATCTTCTGCATTGATAGCCGCATGTAGTTCACTCACATGTGAAAGAAAATCAATCAGACCTCCGCTTCTTCTAAGTAGCAGTTCATCTGAACAAGCAGAGGTTATAGTCATGTTCATTTCCTTAACAGGATGATTAATCAAGATACACACATGTTAAAGGGCTACATCCAATTTCATATTCAGGCACTTCTCTGAAACAATCCTGTTGAATAGTATAGGGACCCTGCCTGATTGACCAGAAAGCTTTTATTGCTCCTGTGATTAGACCACCACCCTCAGTCATTTCTTCGAATGGCTCTTGACAACCTAATAACTTGTCATGTCACATTTTCAAACCTCACAAGTCCTCAGTTCCAAGCTTGCAGTGGGAGGCCGACAGGTGATAAAATTTGGATTATTCTAAATATGTGGCAAGATAGCCATAACACACAGCCAGAGGCACGTGATCTTAAACTCACCTAATCGTACGGCCTGTGGTCCCTGAGGGTTTCTTTGTGGATGCTGAAACAACTCTGGAAGCACAAAGTGACAGAAGTGTTGCTGTGCCTAGACACACACACACACACTCTTGCTGGGAGAGGTGATGACAAGTTGGAGATCTGTGGGAGATAAGAAATATAATGAGCTTATGATGACACACAGAAGACACGTTTCCTTGCTGGTTCTCAACACGCATGCGTGTACACAAACTCATAAATTTCTTATGGGATCAAGAATCTCAACAAGGGTATAGTTCACAAAACCTTGAAAGGCCAATTTACTCTGCATAGCCTCCACATGCAAACACACAGTTTTCATTCCATTTTCCATTGTCCCTCCTACCTGATATCCACAGACTCACTACGTTACCCAAGGGAATAAAAGCCTACATTAATTCAAGAGGGCCTGATACAATGAACTCTGTTCACACTTCAAACACTACAAGTGGCTTATCCACATTGTGACAAGATCACATTATCTGTACTCATTAACAAAGCCTACAAAGCCTAAGGGTTATTGCAATAAATATGCAGGCGTGAGCAGAACATTGATATGTTTGTCATACCTCTCACTACACTGCTCCTAATGATTCCTCCAGAAGGTCAGAGAACGGATTTGAGATTCTTCTTCCCTTCTTTTGCAGTGAATTCTGAATTAAGATGTAAACACAAGCACAACACAATAATATGGCAGTTTTTGTTCTTGTCTAAATAAATAATTCAACATTTTTCTTTTGTATGTTAACTGTTGCTAGGGCACAGCTGAGTGGACATTGAGTCAGAAGACTGAAGAATAGGTTGACTCATTATGGCTATTGCACACACAAGTAAGATTATTTAGAGAGCTCTGCTTGGTAAAATGATCTTAAATTAATCTTTTAACAGAGGCTCAATCACACAGCTGGCTAATCAATGTGCTTCACTACTACTTTTACTACAGCAAGCACACATGAATCAATAAAATAACATTAACATTTGGACTACAGGGTTAGATTTAGCAAATTTGGTAAAAAGGCCATCATCTTCATCATTTGTATCCACTTTCACTCAACGGAAACCACAGAAAAAATAGAATTTTGCTAGTGCTCAAGTGTGGTAATAAAAGTTAAAAATTTTAACCTCCATGTGACAATGTTTTTATAATAAAATATACATTTTTACCCTTCAGATTTGTCTATCAATCTCTGTGTTCAATATCTGTGTTTTTTGTTTGTAGTGAACAGGAATTATTTTGCATGCTGCATTTATTTCTCAATCCACAGTAATCTGGGAGCACGATGAAACAGCACACAAGTTCATTGTCTAATGTTATCAAAAATCTGCAGTTGCAAATTCTGACCTGGAATCAAATCTTCTGTCCAGGTTGTCACTATTGTGCCGTGTTATCACACAGAGATTTAATGCCAAATATGATGGATCTGGTCACAATCTACCTCCATTGAGATATGTGTGTGCAGCATAGCATGTGTCAGTAGAAGAGGCTGGTGACTTTAAAAATCTGAATGTCAAGGACAAGAAACTCCCTGATATTTTGTCATGCCTGAACAGATCCTTTAGCGTTGTCCTTTAGTGTGAATTGTAACATTTGCATGTTTAAAAAAAGACCAGATGTAGTCCACTTTAACAATGGTACACTGCGTCTAAATTAACTTCTTTATTGTTGATTTTAAAAATGTGAACAAAGAACACTGCATAAGACAGACAAGTCAGATCAATACAATGCTCACCACTTGGGGGTCTCCTGTGTCTGCCGACATCCACAAAGACAGTTTGTTTCTTTTTTGACTTCAAACATGTTCACTTTACACCAAACAAAATGCTCTCCAGAGACTTTATTCCCCCTAAATGAATTTCTCTCCTGTTCCTCACTACTTTGATTACTGAGACTACAAAACCCTCTCATTCGCTGAGCTGCTGCATCTGATCCCAGTGACAAACTGCTGAAATAGCAACATCTTTTTGGATACTGATGGAGACATAAGTGCAAAGTACAACAGGCAGGGTATGAGGTGTATGTAGGATGTATTGTATGAGAGGACAAGAACTTCTGAATCTTGAAATGGACACCGATGGGTTAACATCGGACACCTGCTTGCAGAAACATTGACAGTGATGAGCCAGAGCCACCCTTGTCCCCAGTACTGCCTATCAGCAGAGACATCTGCATGATTAAAGCCATGTATCTTCACTGTGTGACTTATTAAAGTGCAATGCAATTAACCACCACGTCCCCTGGCTGACCATTGCATGCACTCTTCCATGAATGATGCTCAGCATGCATGACTGACTGGCACAAATCTGAAGCTCACTTCCCATCTATAGATCCCAGCTGCTTCGCAGGCTCATTTTAGTGCTCTATGCGCTCATTCATCACAATGCTCAGTTTCTTCTTGCTTATGTTAATTTACATCTACATAATGGAAACCAGTCAACAGAAACATTGCTTGGTATTGCAATCTTGTCTGGGGCAGCAGAGAGAATGCCTGATCAGTTGTGGGCTTCTGTGTATAACATGTCTTTGCACAATCAGCCTATTATCCCTCCTCTAAATTCAAGCGGAGGGATAATGTAAAAGTTTTATGAGAATTCTTCTGGCCACTCAATCTGTTTTGTAATCACTACTGAAGGATTCCCGCAGCAACCTAATTTGGAGTGATCTAGAGGTTACAGGTGTAACCACACAGTACAGAGTGCCAATGAGATAAGCCCCACTGCTGGCCATCCCTGTCTGCTGCTGGGGACTGTTAGTCATTAAGAGTCAGGCCTCATTAGAGAGGCCATGGTGTGGTGGATCACAGACACTGCTTCCCTTGGCTTCAGCCACATACCTGAGTGTCTGATGTGTTAGAGGCCAGGAGGAGAGGACAAGGACATGTCAGGGGAAGTGCTGGTTTCTGACAAGTGGAGCAACAAAAAAGCACAAGCTGATACTGGCCGCAAAAACTGTACTTAAAAGCTCATTGCGGAGTATTTTAGGCACGTGGTGGAAAGTAATGTACAGGAGTACAGTTTAGAGGTACTGGTACTTTACTTGAGTATTTCTATTTTCTGCAACTTTATATTTACACTCACCTACATTTGTGAGTATGATTAAGTATTTTTCACTCCAGTACATTTATCTGACAGTAATAGTTAACTATGAGACCAAAAAAGGAAAGGAGAGGTTAGACTTGTACTTTGCATTGTGATTAAAAAGTCATATTCTAAAATAAGTCGGAGGTTGGAGCTGGGAATGACATCACACCTGAGTTGACAACGTTCCAGTTAACAAGTTGGAAAACCTCGCACGGCCAGCCACTGTTTACAACTAGCCTGATTAGCTATTGTTATGCCGGTTGATAAAAAAAAAACACATTGTGCAGTATTTACTCATACTAAACATTGTAGCAACACCTCCACAGACAACAATTGGACAGCACTTTGTGTACGGAACTTTACATGAGACACAAGTACACAGAAGAGCTAATAAACAGTATAAACTACAGTTTTCACTAACTGTTGATACTCTGTTGATAGAGCAGCCATCTTGGATCACAAAGTCGGGGTAATGCAGTTCTCCCGACTTTCCAAGTTGGAAATCCGACTTAAGGGGGCGTTCCCTTTGAAATTTCCGACTTTGAACTCAGAAATTCCAACTTCCCATGTCAAATGGAATGCACCATTAAAGTACCACAAAGTGGGTGTGTACATAATTAGGTAAAGGAATTTCAGGGGGCCGTGTCTCCCGCTAGATAGCTATGGACTTGGCTCCTATAGTAGGTGCTCTACTTAAGCTCACAGAAGGTGCAGATGGAAATCCTTAATACGTGGATCACTTCTGTGATTTCCTAATTGCTGTTGATGATTTGCTTTATTTTATTTGCTCTAGTGCTGTATTGTGTTTACGAGTAGCCAAAAACTTTTGTTGTTCTCCCGGTTCCTTTTGTTTCTGTTGCATGAAATCATGTCTTCTCACTTTCTTAGCTTTAATATAGCAGTCTTTAACAGTACAGCTTTGTATCCTCTGTTTAGAAACTGTGTTTGCATATCTTTTGCCTCAGTCACAAAATCTGGCTCCTGATCACAGATCCTCTTAAGGCGTTGCAATTGTCCATACGGGATGTTCTTTTTAAATGTTGGGGGATGAAAACTATCTGCCCGAAGCGATGTGTTTCTGTCAGTTTGTTTGCAAAACCAGCAGTATGGAGTGTCCATCATTGTGTTTCATTATTGTGAGGTCCAAACAAATCAATCTGTTTTGTTTTTTTTGCTGATGATCTTCTGTACTTTTACTTGAGTATACTTTTGAATGCAGTAATGTAAAGGATATAAACATTTCCTCCACCAGACTCTGCTAAAAATTTCCATTGAACATTAAGTTAGTTTGTGCTGATCTTTATGGCAACAAGGAAACTAGTTAGGGATTTTTCTTCATTCCTTCGTTTTATTCTTCTCTATATACTAATAACTTTAAAGAAGCCAAACACATGAATTGGCATAGGTGTTTTGAAGTCATAAAGCCCGGGAGAGTGTTTGTCACTGCATTTATGGGAATTTCAGTAATGCTGACAGCATGAATTGCAGTCAAGGCAGCAGTCTTATACCTGATCTCAGTAAAAATGCGCTCCTGGGTACTTTACGTTTTATTACACTTGAATGATTAGGAATGCCAGCTTGACATGATCCAGCTAAGGATTAACTTCACAGTCTCTCAATCTCAGGCTGGACACTGTATGACTATAATACTGCTTAATTAAAGACATAAGTATTTCAAACCATTTGTGAGGACATGGTGAGTTCACATTGTTTTATATAAGACTATAAAGCTCTGGGCTTTTGCATTCGTCCAAGCTGAGCGTGAACATGGAGATGAAAGACAGAAGATAGACGTGCAATATTGATATTATCAGCATGCACGACATTTGTTTGTATGCAGTTTTCAGTTTCCCTAGAGAACTGGTGTACTCAGCCACCAAAGCAATTCACTGTACACTGTGCACCTGATGACATATTGCATAAAAGAATAGAAAATATACAAAAGTAGTTATTTTATCTGAAGGCTTCATCTTGAGTATTGCAGGTGTGCGCTACAAGTGATAACTTTGATTGCCTGTACAGTCACACAATCAGTCTTTTTCAAATCAACCTGAATTTTTTCTTGCCAAAGGAGTGTGGTTCTTTTTTTCCCTTTAGGTCAGCTTATTTATGTTTATAATGTGTCTAGAGACACTGATGACGAGCATAACACATCTATCGTAAAAAAAAAAAAATACTATATGTTTTAGAGATTAAACAATCAATCAATCAACAGACAATTAACTGGCAACTATTTTGATAATTGACTCATCATTGAAGTAATTTTTTCTAGTAATAAAATTGCCAAACATCTATTGGTTTCAGCTTCTCAGTCTGCTTTCTGTGTTTTATATCAATGTTAACTACATTTTCCTGGAGTTTTACACTTTTTGGGACAAAATAGGCAATCCGGAGACACCAAACGATTAATTGAGAAAATAATTAGCAGATTAATTAATAATAGTTAGTTTCAGCCCTAGTTTGTTTAAAAAGGAAGACACTATAAATAAATACATTTAAAAAGCCATTATGGTTTTGAATAATTTATGGGATAGAAATACATTAGTTAATGGAGTTACATTCTCCTGAGTTAAAC